TGCAGTCCCGTAGTCCAACTCATAAATGCGCCATGATCTACCGGAATACCACATCAGTAGTCCCAAATTATAAATACTCAGTATTGGGGAATCTATCGGGTGCAATCCCGTAGTTCTAATGTAAAAGTGCAGGGGGATCCCGAAATGCAATTCCGTAGTCCCAAAGTAAACATACAGGGGAGCTCCCCGGATACCGTCCCGTAGTCCCAAAGTAAATACACAGCAGCAACAAGAACTCAATTCAATCAATTTCATACCAAAGTCAGACAGATAATTCTAACCAAGCATGCTTCACGTAATACAAATAAGGCAGTTAAGTCAAATAGAACAATTTAATCAAGTAGACATACTTCTCTAGACTAACAACAGGCTAAATTTCCAAGTAGTGTAAGCAAGAAAAGAAGAACACAATCCAAGGCTACTTTAATGAAATAAAAACCGTATTTCCAACAAATAGCACAAGTACGCGCTCGTCACCTCATGTACAAGGCATTTCAATTATCACAATATCAATCCTAAGGGGAAAGGTCCCCCACACAAGGTTAGACAAGCCACTTACCTAGAAAAGCTCAAATGTCAACCCGAAACCACGTTCTTGCCACGAGTATTCGACTCCAAATGGCCCAAATCTATTCAATTAAATTTCATAATGTAAATAACACTTCAAGTAACTGATTCTACAATTAAATTCTAAGCTAATACGCAAAATTAGGTAAAATGACCAAAATGCCCCTCGAGCCCATGTCTCGGAATCGAGTGAAATTTATATTTTCAAAATCCTAACACTCTCACGAGTTCATACATACCAAGAACACTGAAATTGGAGTCTAAATGACCCCTCAAATTCTTATTTCAAGTCTCTTAAATCTCAAGTCCTAATTCTTCCATTTTAGGCCTAGTTTCCATTATTAACAAGGTAGATTTCACATTAGAAACGAGTTTTAAGACCAAGAATCTTACCTCCAAGTGATTCCCTTCGAATCCCTCTTCAATCCCCTCCAAAGAGCTCCAAAAACGATTAAAATGGTGGAAATAAACTTCAAAAAAAGTCGCGTAACCCCTTTTTAAAACCATTCTACCCAGCAGTTTCCGCATCTGCGGCCTTGGGACCGCTTCTGCGGTCCCGCATTTGCGGAACAAAGGTCGCATCTGCAACTTCACACTCAAATGCCCAGATTCCGCATCTGCGGCTCCTCGCCCGCAGATGCGGTACCGCACCTGCGGAGAAACTACCGCTTCTGCGGTTCCTGGTGACTTTCCCCATTTCCCGCTTCTGCGGTCGCTGAGCCGCTTCTGCGGCGCCGCACCTGCGGAACCCAAACTGCAGGTGCGGTTATGACAGAACCAGCAGCTGAAGCTGCAACTTAAACTCCAAAATTTCCTCCGTCAACCACCCGAAATCATCCCGAGGCCCCCGGGACCTCAACCAAAGGCACCAACAAGTCTAATACCACTGTCCAAACTTGTACCAATCCTTAAAACACCTAAAACAACATCGAAACATCAAATTAACCATGGATTCAAGCCTAAGAACTCCAAATTTTCCCAAAATACGCTTTCGATCAAAAAGTCTATCAAACCTCGTCCGAATGGCCTGAAATTTTGCACACACGTCACATTCAACACTACGGAGCTACTCCAACTTCCGGAATTCCATTCCGACCCTCGGATCAAAATCTCACTATCGAACCGGAAACTTCAAAAATCCATCTTTCAGCATTTCAAGCCTAAATTAGCTACGGGCCTCCAAAACACAATCCGACCACGCCCCTAAGCCCGAAATCACCCAACGGAGCTAACGGAACCATCAAATTTCCATTCCGAGGCCATCTTCACATTGTTCCGACTACGGTCAACTTTCCAACACTTAAGCTCTCATTTAGGAACTAAGTGTCCCAAAACTCTCCGAAATTCAAAACCGACCACCCGGTAATTCAAAATAGCAGAAATAAATACGGGGAAAGCAGTAAATAGGGGATCGGAGCGTAAATTCTAAAAACGACCGGCCGGGTCGTTACACTTTGTTACACTTAAAAGTCGCTATAGAAACTATCAATTAAAAACCAATTTATCTCTTGTTGAGTTTGAAAAACAAAACCTTTTACATAATCTAATGATTCAAACTAATATTCTTCACAAAAAAATATTATACCCTTGCAATATTAGCTTGACTACAGCTAAATGAACGAGTTTCAGCTTATACCCTTCAATTTCTTAAATGTGCTAAATTAAAATTAATGATAACAATTGTATAGCCAAAGTTTTGTTATTTGTTTGATGTCCATTTATGCAAATTGACTCTTCAAACAAATATTCTTCAAGAAGAAAAAAGAAACAACTTTTTTTTTTTTTATTATTGACTGATTTTGTGATGTTTATTTCTCCAGCATGTATGTTTACTTTATGATATATGTAAGTAAACTTTTATTTGGTTTTGTAAACTCTTTTTTTTTTATTTAAATAAACATAGACGTGTACCCTACATATTACTTTTATTTTAAAAGAATTTCGTTTTATTCAAATCTAGCTACATTGTTTCAAAGAACTATACTTATAGGATTTTAGATGTGAAAGAGTTTTAGCTATATGGAGTAGTTTTTTTTTTTTTGCTAAAGGTGAAGTAGTATTTGAATAATTATATAAAATAACAAAAGTTCCTAACATGATTGCATATGATCATTAACCGAATTAAGTATGATAACATGATAAAAAAAATTTATTTTTTATTTAAATTCGAATTTTAGAACTTTATCTATAAATTTAAAATTATCTTTTAATTCAATTTCCATATATATTANCACCGTGTCAATATCTAACTATATATATATATATATATATATATATATATATATATATATATATAGATTAATTATGCTTGCAATGCTACTCTGTTCACCACTGTCACAAAACTTTTATAGGATATTCAACCATGATAGCTCCAATTTCAAGTAAATTTCATATTTTATGTATATTAAGAGTTTAATTTTCATACAATGACAAAGTAAAAAAAAAATTAATTTTCATCAGGTTATAAAAAGAAATTACATGTAACATAATTCATATTAAAATTGGACTCCTTTCCTAGTTAAACAATGTTGGTTTTTTATTGGTTTCAATAATGAGATTAGTTTACTAAGAAATATTTAAGATCATAAAAGAAAAATGAGAGAGAAATCATACCAAGATCGGAAGACAATTAATTAATAAACTTTACTATTATAAAAGATTTTGAAGTCAACTAATTAATTAAGATTTTGTCCGCTTTTAGTTATAGTAAATCAACCACTTCACAAAATTTGTGGAATGCAAAAGGTAACGTGGGTAAAGAATTCTCAATTGTTGGTAAATTATAAACGCCAATTTTGTAATTACCCTCGATATATATTATTTTAGGAGCTTATTTTTCAACACATATAATATTGATATATTTATTTTTATTAATAAGGGTATACTCTTAAATTTTGAAATGCTATATGTTCTTGTTAAACTGAAAAGAAAGCACGATAGTTTGTAAAGTTGAGATGATAAAATTATAAAAATGAAACTAAGTTTAAGTTAAATATATGGAATGATGATCGATGAATTTTATGAAGCAGAATTTCTTCCTTTATTTTTATATATATAATATATATTATATATATATTATATATTATATATATATATATATATATATATATTATATATATATATATATATATATATATAATGATCAAAATTCTTCAACTCTGGAGCTGAAATTTTTATTTACAATCTTAAACAGTTTTAATGAATATCTATATATATTTTGAAAAATTCACTCATCGAGATGGGGTACACGCCAATTGGGG